AAGAAAGAAAGAAAGAAAGAAAGAAAGAAAGAAAGAAAGAAAGAAAGAAAGGGAGGAAGAAAGAAAGACAGCAGAACTGACTCTGGTGGCACATACCTTTAATTCATTCCCCTGGGAAGCTTAAACATGGGGCTTACGACTTGATGCAGCTTATTCTATGTAAAGCTTTGAAAACTAGCTTGGTCTACATAAGGAGATTCTTTTGACATCCACAAGAATATTGGTAGTGTTATTGTATACTAACAACAAACTATCTGTGAATGAATTAAATATAACATTAGCATCAACATTTTGTAATAAATTTGTACCAAATTTATTTAGTACATTAGTACATCAAAACTATAAAATGTTGAAAAAAACTGAGAGTGATACAGATAAGTGGAAAAGATATCCATGTTCCTGGTTTGGAAGAATTTCAATTGTTAATGTGTACCCATGATACCCAACATGATTACTGATTTGATGCAATCTCTATAAAAATTCGAGTGATTTCATCACAGAAAGAAAAATTCATACTGAATCACAGCAACCCCACATAGCCAAAGCAAGCATAAAAAGGTGAACAAACTTGACTCTAAAATACAATACATTGATTGAATAATTATAGAAGTCAAAATGCCATCCCACTAAAAATAGATACATGGGCCGGTGGGCCAGGATAGAGAACACAGAGATAAACTCATACATTTCAGTTTATCTAGCTGATCTTCTACACTGATGTTAAAAACATACAACAGAGATTAGATAGTTTCAATAAATAAATGGTTGAAAAAACTAGATACCCACATACACAAGAAAGAAATTGAGCCCTTATCTCACACAAACCCAAATGCAAAAACTACTCAAAATGATAACAACTGTAAACTTCTGGAAGAATACAGAAGGAAAACTTTATGGCATTTGTCTCAGCACAGATTTTTTTTTTTTTGGACATGACCCCCACAACATGAGCAACAAAGCAAAAACAGACAATGGGGTTGAATCAAAGTATAGTGAAGAGAGTCTACAGTGTTGAAGAAAGTATTTACAAACTGTACATCTGTATAAGAAATTCAAATAACTCAAGAGCAAAACAGCAATAATGCCAATTAAAAATTGAACAAAGGACTTAAACAGGACTTTTCAAAAGAAGACATAAAAATGACAAACATGTAAGTGAAAATGTCTTCAACACACTAATCATCAGGGAAATGAAAGCTCAAACCACAGTGAGATATCAACTCACCTCAGGAAAAAAATTACTACTAAAAAGACTAAAACAAGAGAACAAGAGAAAAGGACCCTTTACACCAGGTGGCTATGGACATACACTGGTCCACTTTGTGGAAAACAATATGCAAGTTCATTTAAAAATTGAAAATAAAACTACCTCATGATACAGAAGCCCTCTTCTAATGTCTATATCCAAAGGAAATGGGGTCAGTATGTTGACCAGATAGTCATACTCTGTGTTCAATATGGCATTGCTCACAATAGCCAAGATAAGGATCTTCTTTAGTGTGCACCAGCAGATAAATACATTTAAAAATGTGGTGCAAAAACGCAGTAGATTATTCAACCTGATAAAAGAAGGAAATTGAATCATTTGCAACAACATGGGTGAATCTGTGGTATATTATACTAACATCAGTCAGACATACACACACACACACACACACACACCATAGACACACGAAGTGCATGAGTACAACCATGGGTGGAATAAAAAACAAAAACAACAACAACAACAACAACAAAAAACATTGAAGAGAACAGGAGCCTACCACAGACGGCCTCTGAAAGACTCTACCCAGCAGGATATTGAAGCAGATGCTGAGACTCATAGCCAGAATTTGGGCAGAGTGCAGGGAATCTTATGAAAAAAGGGAGAGATAGAAAAACCTGGAGGGTACAGGAGCTCCACAAACAGATGAACAGAACCAAAAAATCTGGGCTCAGGGGTCCTTTCTGAGACTGATACTCCAACCAAGGACCATGCATGGAGATAACCCTTGCTCAGATGTAGCCCCATGGCAGCTCAGCTTCCAAGTGGGTGCCCTACTAAGGGGAACAGGGACTGTGTCTGACATGGTCTTAGTGTCCAGCTCTTTGATCACCTCCCTCTGGGGGTAGTGCAGCCTTATCAGGCCACAGAGGAAGACAATGCAGCCAGTCCTGATGAGACCTGATAGACTAGGATCAGATGGAAGGGGAAGAGGACCTCCCCTATCAGTGGACTTGGGGAGAGGCATGGGAGGAGAAGAAGGAGGGAAGGTGGGATTGGGAGGGGAAAAAGGAAGAGACTACAGCTGGGATACAAAGTGAATAAATTGCAGTAATTAAAAATAAATAAATAAAAGAAAATAAAAAGTACTTACAAAGGCACATGGTATTTGTCAAGGGTACTGAGGAGCTGTTGGTTAAAAGGTGACAAGTTGTAGCTAGGAGGCATACATTCTGAAGTTTTATCATACAATACTTCACCAAGAGGTTTTTTTTTTTTTTTGAAACAACGTAAACAGTTATACTTTAATTTTCTTTTTTTAAAATTCTTTATTCATTACACTTTATTCACTTTGTATCCCCCCTGTGGTTCCCTCCCTCCTCCCATCCCAATCCCTCCCTTCCTCCACCCTCTGCATGCATGCCCCTCCGCAAGTCCACTGATAGGGGAGGTCTTTTCTTTCCTTCTGATCCTAGTCAATTAGGTCTCATCAGGAGTAGCTGCAGTGTCTTCTTCTGTGGCCTGGTAATGCTGCTTCCCCCTCAGGGGAAGGTACTTAAAGAGCAGGCCAATCAGTTCATGTCAGAGACAGTCCCTGTTCCTATTACAATGGAACCCACTTGGATACTGAACTTCCATGGGCTACATCTGTGCAGGGGTCTTAGGTTATCTCCATAGTTCTTGGTTGGAGTATCAGTCTCAGGAAAGACCCCTGTGCTCAGATTTTTTGGTTCTGTTGCTCTCCTTGTGGAGTTCCTCTCCAGATCTGTTTCCCACTTCTTTCCTAAGATTCCCTGCACACTGCCCAAAGGTTTCCCGTAAATCTTAGCATCTGCATTGATAGTCCACAGGGCAGAGCCTTTCAGAGGTCCTCTGTGTCAGGCTCCTGTCTTGTTCCCTCTTTTCTCCTTCTTCTGATGTCCATCCTCTTTGCCTTTCTGGATAGGAATTGAGCATTTTAGCAAGAGTCCTCCCTCTTGATTAGTTTCTTTAGTAGACTTATCCTATATTACATGTCTATATGAGTGGCTAAGATCAAAAACTCAAGAAACAACACATGCTGGAGAGGTTGTGGAGAAAGGGGAACCCTCCTCCACTGCTGGTAGGAATGTAAACTTGTACAACCACTCTGAAAAGCAATCTGGCTGGCACTTTCTCAGACAACTAGGAATAGTGCTTCCTCAAGATCCAGCTATACCACTCCTAGGCATATACCCAAAAGAGGCTCAAGTATACAATAAGGACATTTGCTCAACCATGTTTGTAGCAGCCTTATTTGTAATAGCCAGAAGCTGGAAACAGCCAAGATGCCCCTCAATGAAGGAATGGATGGACAAATTGTGGTATATCTACACAATGGAATATTACTCAGCAATAAAAAATAAGGAAATCATGAAATTTGCTGGCAAATGGTGGGAACTGGAAAAGATCACCCTGAGTGAGCCATCCCAGAAGCAGAAAGATGCACACGGTATATACTCACCAAGAGTTTTTAATGATTTATTATATACAGAAAATTCTAAGAGAATAGATTTGAATGTTATTATTGACAGAAAAATGCTAACAATGTTAATGATCTTTGTGATTTAAATGAGAATGTCCCTCACAGGCTGAAGTATTTGAACACTTGGTCCTCGGTTGGTGGAGCTGTTTGGAGAGGTTATAGGACCAGTAGGAGGTATAGCCTTGCTGGAGAAGAAAGGTTACTGGGGAA